TTTCGGGCCTAGACCCTTCATCAGAAAAAAGGGTCTAGGCCCGAAACGTCAGCCTTTCTGCTCCTATGATGCTGCTTGGCCTGCTGTGTTCATCCAGTCCTGCACCTTATTGTCTCGGATTCTCCAGCATCTGCAGTTCCTACTATCTCTGCAAATTTGCAGTAGGTGTTGATATGGGATGTAGACAGTGGGTACAATCCCCCTGCCACAGTGCCAATTCAACAGTTCTATTCCATCAGTGATCCCTTCAATCCCTCAAGAGGGCTTCAAATTTCCAGACATAATATGAGCCTTTGATGGCACCTTTATGGCAACAGATTAATTTAGTATTAAAAATGGGAAGAGTTCCATATTGTGTTGTTATTCTTAAATAGTATGAGCTGTTGTTCCCTAAGAGCTTGGCATTTTTACATCTGTCCTGATGAGTGCAAGAAAAAAAAATCTTATTTCTTTACTCAGCAGTATTGATGTTCTGTAGTACTAAATGAAAAACATATATAAAATGCACATCAGACACAAGAGAATTACTTTTTGACAGATGCCAGCAGGAAAACACTTGAAATAAAAAAAAGTGAGCGAGAGCGGGTGAAGTTGTAGAGAACTTTCCACCACCTCTCATTTCAATATATTGTTCATTATACATAAAATGGAAAATGCAGGAAATACACAGCAGGTCATCCACTATCAGCAGAAAGAATTGATTCAAGTTTTGAGTGTAATACTTCTGATCTTTCCCTTGCTCTGACAAAGGGTGATGGAACTGCCAGCTTCATTTTACAGACATAGACCAGCCTGCTGTGAATTCCCAGAACATTCTGGTTTTGTTGCAAAATTCCACTTTTATAAAGAAAATATTCAATAAGTAAAGTTGAAAATTTACCTTCCAGCAATAAAGCCACTCTTGCCATACTAGACTATCGGGCTGATCTCTCATTACAGAGAGATGACTGATCGTGTTTTAACCTGTGGGTCACCATGCCTCAGGCAAGGAGAGAGTTTGAGAAGGTCAATCCTTCATGGTAACCTCAGCCAGTTTGAGAATCCTACCCACGCTGTTGGGTCTTAACAACAAACAAGCCATCCAGCCAATGGAGCTAACTGGCCTACATTTCCAAGAATATGGGTTTATAGGAATATCATATTTATGTAATTGGGTCTGTTTTGCAATGCAAAAGTCTCAGAAAATCATGCCACCTATTTTTATGACACGTAAGTTGTGTCACTTTTTACATAATTACTTATTTATATAGTGCATTTAACATAATAAAAATATCCCAATGTGATTCATAGGGGTATGAGATTGCTAAGTATGAAACTGAGCTATTGTTTGCTTTATTTTAGTTATTAATGAATTCCTTTAAGGAGGGAGATGAGGTATAAAGAGGATAGCCCAGATCTTAGGGTTTCACCAGCCAAAGGAAGGTGCACTAACACTGGAGCAATTGAAATTGAGGATGCCAGATTCATTAGAGTGCAGAAATCTTGAAGGATTGTGGGATTTGAAGAGACAAGAGACCATTGAGAGAAGGGGGAATTTTAAAACAGAGATGAAGATTTTGAACTCAAGACATTGACAGACCCGGAGTCAAGATAACAGGCACAGTGATGAGAGGGGAGCAGGACGTTGTGTGAATTAATACACAAGCAACAGAGTAACCTTAGGCTTACAGAGGGTAGAATGCAATAAAACAGTCAGGAAGTTGTTGTAGTAATTAAGTCCAGCAGTAACAGAGACATTAATGAAAGTAACAGATGATCTAAGTGCTATAATTCCATGAGATCTTTGCACAACTATGTTCCACAAAGCTGTAAACACATGATTACTGCTGTGTTCAACAATTTCATGTTGTACATGAGAGTTTGGCCAGGGATTTATGTTTTGTATCGATTACACCTGGATGTGGATTCTGAGCAAAGTAACCAAACGCCACAGAAGTTGGAACAACAGGATTAATTAAAGTGCAGACACTATTTGATTGTAGAAGTATTGTGAAATACTTGTTGCACACTTTAAAAAACAAGGGTTACCACTGCCTGCCTTATACTAAATGCGAAAACTACACACACGGGCATTCAAGATAATAGTGGAATGTTCAATTCCAAAATTTTCACCAAAGGCTGAAAAAAAAACGAGTAGCAAACTAAATCCTTTGACATCTGTCGGTCTTTACCTTTGTTTTTCCCAGATTCTTAATCCTTTAGAAGGATTTCTTAAATTTTGGAGCAGCCTACCCTACAGAGTGGGATCAATCCCTCTTCCGCTAGTGAGGTCTTCCCGTGTTGTCTGTCTGTCCTGCCATCCAGTCTATGGGGGTGTCTGAAGCAAATGATTTCATGACCCTCATTGACCAATACGGAAGGTCAAGGGATAACAGCACCCTTCCTCATGAGCATTCTCCTGTTCTGTGTTATTAAGACTTAAGAATTGCTTAACCGTTTACCATTGGCTTTGCGCCCCTTCGCCATTCTCCCCACTCCGGCGTGATCGCATTATTGTCCCAAGAGATTCTGGAGTAACATTGATGAGCGAAATACTGGAAATTAGAACGCGTCTCACGGATTAACCGGCTCGAGGGAAATCTACTCCATTTTGTTTTATTATCGTGAAAGCAATCCTCTCAAAACAATACTGGACTGCATTTTTTTTCTCTCAATGGGGAGGAAATGTTGCAATCAGGTTGCTCTGCTAGGATAGTATCAGTGAAACATACCGTGACAGCAACTGTGGTGTGTTTTGTGTTCATCCACCTTTGGGTACAAAGGAGAACGTGTCTAGTGCTTGGCCAGGAACAGGCAAAAGGATAGACTCAGTGACATTTCCCTGGGACGAAGTAACCAGCTCTAGGCTTTCACCCCTCCGGCACTTAGAAGGGGTATGTGCACGTTCTGCATTGTAAAGAACTTCACAGCACACTGCCCAGTGAAGGTATAGAACACACAGGAGAGAGAGAAAAACTCTTCCCATTGCTGGCCTGCTCCTGAATGTGTGTTAGCTCTCCGACCTCATCTCTAGCTCCGGAGATTTCTCTGGAAACCGGCACAAAGCTGCAAAGAGGCTGCTGCTTCTCAACTGCTATCAACTGCTGTTTGTTTACATAATTCGTGACCTTAACAGCTTCTAGACCAAAGTCAACTCGCCCCAGAAAGCGGCATTACAGCGAAGATGTGCAACCCCTCAATATCCTATCGTACTCCCTCTTCCCGCAGATGTGCGCCAAGCAATGTTTATTTCAAAACTATACTTCAGATAGCGTCGGTTTAGGATTTTTGTTTTTAGCTGACAGCAAAGGTTGAGACTTAACATCCCTTTAAGGATGGGAAAGAAGAAATGAAATCTCCACCGTCTGTACAATCCCTCATTTACAAAATGTGTTACTGGTTCCACTGCCTTGTCAAGAAACAACTGTGCCAGTGATGTTTCGGTTAATGGGCCCGATTTTCGAATTGCACTGATTTGGTGACTGAACAACATTTTAACATGTTTCCAACAATGAAACAAAATGTTTCTAAACTGCTCATTAAATATGACTTTTGTGTATATTTGGAAGTGGGGGTGATTTGCAACCGCTTTCAATGTCTAAAGAGGAAAATGTAAACATTTAAAAAGGGGGGACACTTACCATCAGTTGATATGTCTTTTTTTATTTCAGAAAAATTATTGAATGGGGGGGTGGGTTAAGATGGAAAATGTGATGGTGGAGAAGCAGTATTTTATCCAGCGACGCTGCGATCACCATGATGATAATCTCAGACGGCAAAAAGCTTCAATAATTTTCCACAAGAGGAAGCGAAGCGTCTCGGAGCTGTGACATAGAGAGAGAGAGGGGGGGCATGAAGTGTTGAGGTGCATCTAGAAGGTGTTTATTTTGAGGAGGGTGTGTGTGGGGGTGGGGGGTGGGGAGAGGTGTTGGCAGAAGGAGGGTCTCTGTTTGGAGACGGCGTGTCTTTATCACCTGGAGTTTCTACCCATTTCTCAGCCCAGTCTAACTCCGTGTGTCCGCGCCACCTCCTGGACACCAGCTCCATATCGGGGGAGAAGAGAAAGTGGTGTGTGTGTGTGTAGATAAGGCGAAGCAGCAACGGCGGAGATCCCAGGCTCTCCCTCTCTCTCTCAGCTCCCAGCTCCTCTCTAAGCCCCCGCTCTCTTGTTCCAGTATATATTGTCAGTATTTGGTATCTGTGTGATTGCAGTTTGGCCGCGCTGAGGCGGCAGCCCGCGGGCAATGGCTCTCCGAGCCGGCTGGCAAGCGATCCTCGGCTGCCTGCTCACCGCCGCTTCGGCCGAGATCTCTAAGGAGGGCGGCTGCAAAGTGAAGACGGTGACCGTGTCCACGCTGCCCGTGCTCCGGGAGAACGACATCAGCTTCCACGGGGCGCTGGCCACTGAATCCAAGCTCTTCCTCTTCGTCCGGAATGACCTGCCGGGAGAGATCCTGGTGGTAGACGACCTGGAGAACACAGAGTTACCTTACTTCACCCTGGGTAAGTTCAACTCTGTGTGTGTGTGTGTGTGTGTGTGTGTGTGGAGGGGGGTGGGGGATTACACAGAGACTCCAGAAATCCTTCCACTAAACCTCTTTCAACTTCGTTTCATTTTGTTATTTTTACGTGCCCAGAATTGTACTGCTTCCTTGAGGTGTCCCTCCTGGACAATATCTGTGAGATTTCTCTTTTTTTTGCAGGGAGAATGATGTATTTTCAAACAACACTTGTACTGGGATCAGACTTTGCAGTCGCGTGTGGTAGTGAGTGGCTTGGGGAGCGGAGATCTGCTGATGGTTGGAGATGTAGGTTGAGAGAGGGTCAAGAAGAGGCAAGTCGAGGTCTTGTTGCATTGTATCAGTGTCTTTGGATTATCACAGAGTCCCAGTATTGACAGGCTGTAGATCTTGCTGTCAATAAATATCACAGGACGGGTTTGTTGTCAAGTAGCCCTCATGCTCCCAAAGAGGAAAATAAAATCGTGTTAACTTTTTTTTTATACCTCTTGCGATGGCTTCTCCCCGACTGGGATAGTGGACAGAACCGGGGTCCTACTGTCCGCAGCGATTTTGTGGATTGAAACTAAAGTGTGATCATTACCGATTAAACAGGACGGGAATGTGACATAGAAATTTCCAGGTTTTATTTTTTAAGTCTTCGCTGTCCTATATGCTTGTGCCCGCGAGGGGCTTTAGTCGGGAATCCCCTTTGGTGCGATGTGCAATTCTGCTTCTTCAGGTTTTACTTTGAAATCAGCAAAATCAAACAGGACCAGGTAACTGAACGAAGCAGTGATTGCTGAACAACGAGGAAGCTCAGGGTGTTAGCAAGTTCAGAATACTTATTTTTGGTACTTTTCAAAGTTCGTTTCAAATCAATTGACCCATCCCCCCGTAAAAAGTGGAAAGGAATTTCAAGAGATTTGTTCCAGGATTGTGTCTGACCTTAAATGTAATTTCGTTGCCGTTGTACCCACAGAAACATGAATAAACATACGTTTTCCCTAGGGAGAACATTAGTTTGAAAAAAAACAATGGTCCAAAGATTTACCTAGTGGTAGTGAATTCTAAAGTTGCTTACTAAAAACACACTTCGGTTTTTCTAAAACAGCAGGGGGACCTATGTCTTTCTGACACTGAGACGTGGCAATGGGTTTGTTCAGTGCAATTTGTCTTGGTGATTGTCAAAGTATAGGAACTGCTGAGGAACTTTTGGAATTGTCATCATCGGATGCTCAAGTCAATGAAACCTTTACTGAAATGGATGGAGCCACTGCTGTAAGGCAGCAGTCATAAACAGCAATTGCTGAAGAAATACAATAGGTTTGGTAGCATCTTTGCGGAGAGTTAATGTTTCCACAGGTGTTGCTAGACCTGCTGAATTCCTCCAGCTATTTTTGTTTTTGCTTCAGATTTCCAACATTCGCAGTTCTTAAGTTTTATTTTAACATAGCAATCAATCTGTGTGTTAATCTCCAGTAAGATTAATGGACTAGATACTCTGTTTCAATGATCTTGGCTGAAGCGCAAACGTTGAGGTCAGGGCATCTCTACTGCTCTTCTCGAAATCAGACATGGGACTCAAATCATGTCATGGGACCTTTTATGCCCACTGCCCAATAAATAAGAGAACTGCTGGTCATGTGGTCAGATTCCCTTGACAATGCAGCCCTCCCTTTGCACTGCAATCAAGTGTGACTTTGTTCTATGCACAAATTTCTGGAGTGGGATTTCAAACTGCAACCTTGTGACTCAGGTGAGAACACTACCACTGAGGAAGAACAAACAGCCTCCGACATAAACTTCACCACGGCTTATTGTTCTGGATTAAATGTTTTATTTGTTAATCATAGTTGATGGAATTAGATGACAGGATCAGGCCTGCTAACCCGTGATGCGTTAACATTTAATGGAAGTGATTGACAGTTCAATATTCCTCTGGTTCCAGACAATTGAAAACAGCAATTATTTCAGTTCATACAGAACTCAAAACATAAGTTTTATTAGTTATGAGCAGTACATATGTGGGCTGCTTTTCTCCAGTGATTGAATTAGTTGTACAGGGTTTGCATCGGGCGTGGGGAAGAGTAGGGTGGAAATGTGTCTTCCAAAAAAACTACATTCTTATCCTTTTTCCCACTTTTTTGCGTCTGAGTTGTTTAATTCTATATGATTGTCAGATTGGAGTATGCTGGACTCTATTCTTCATAATTGTTAGAAAGCTGGTCACAATCTGCCATTTGTTATGTTCTTTTCTTTCCTTTTCACATTTTTGTAAGACATTAATAAGATCTTAATTTCATTGCATTGGTGGAAAGGAACTTGCTGTGTGAAAAGTATAGAAATGAAAATTTGTTGTGATTTTTTACTTGTTTAAAATCAATAATATTTAATGCATCTAAGTGCATTAATTGGTTTACCTTATCAATTACCTCATACACAAAATGCAGAACACTGTTTCAGATTCGGGGAAGATGAAATCAATTTTGGAAGCAGACAGAAATCAGTAACTACCACCCAATGACTGCTTATTAAGTGCCATAAATATATTTCTAAAACCAATTTAAACTAATGTATTATCTGCCACAAATTTCAGAAAAACTTGCAACTGTGGCAGTCTTAGTATGTGACCATGAGAAAAAATGCGCAATAGGTGCTTTGGAAAAAAAATATTGAAACTGCCTGTATCCGTCTCCAGCAATCAGACTTTGTGCTCCAGATCCTGCACTCCTTCTCAGAGGTTATAAGACTGTTGTACAGTGCATAAATTCTGCTGCATTCTCAGAATCTCTCAAGGTTTGGTGACTGAGTGTGTGCTACTCAAATTATTATTACATTACCCGATTAGCATAACATTCAGTGTTTGATAAGGAATCAAAATATAAGTATATTTGTTAGATCCATTTATGGAAAAAAATAACCAGGGATTCATTCAGTCATTTGCCTCAACACTGTAATATTCAATGAAGGAGCATTTCTATGTTTGGAACACTGAATTTAAGATTATTTTAATCTTCAATCAAAATTTTGGTTTCATGGTCAGGATTATAGCAATGTGGAATTATTTTTCTTCTTTGCACATCATAATAGCTTCAAACATTCCACAGTCCAATGCAAGATTGATTGGTTTGGGAGAATAACGTTGCCCCAACAATGTCCATTAACCCCAACTGCACCACTGTGGCATTTCCATTTCTCACAGCAAGCTTTCTGAATGAGGTTGCTGCTCACAGTTGAACTGTACTGTTTTTCCATGCTTGGACTCACTCTCAGAGATTCCATTTTGTCAGAAGCTGGCAGTGCTCAGATTTGAGGACTATTGTTTCATCAACCTGGGTTCTGTTCATCACTGATTGTTCATATCACTTAGTTGTTGCCCTCAGGACTAAAGGCAGTGAGTTACAGAAACTATGGTCCCGTTCTACTTGAAAGCTCATTGCTTCAAACTCTGATGCCGTGTGGAGAGTCATGTTCTTACTAAAATGCAAACATGAGATCAGCTTCTTGCTTACATCTCCCTGAATCCGATAATACATTTTAAGTACTATGTATTCATGGATCTACAATGCTTTCAATTTCCTATGATCGTTTTACTCTAAGCAGAACCATGCACCTCAGCTTGTATTTAATGACACATTTAATTTAAAAGTAACTTGACCACGAGCTCCAGTTTGAGTATAAGTGATTAATTTCATATACCAATTAGTTTAATAATTTATAATTATATAGTTTCATTAAAACACAATATAACAGACTTTAAAAGGGCATTGTCACAGCAGCCCACTGCTAATTGAAATGATATTTTTGACTTCACAGTCTTTCGTCAGTGAACCTTTCTTATTTTTTCACTCATTGAACAGCAACAGCCTGTCTGGTTGTCCTAACAGTCTCATGGATAATGGCATAAATTAATGCAAGGCTATGCTGATGAATCCGAGTTGTGCCTCCAAGTATGTGCAAAGTCGGTTTATTATAGGGACAATGGTAGAAATACCCTCGGTGAAGAAACAGTTCTTTTAGCCATTGTTTCAATTCATTACCTCTGTTTGATAAGTGCCGTTGAAAAGTGAGCAAGTGTGAACAATGCATAATAGCATCTGAGGGCTTACCTATGATGCTTTCTAATATCAAACAGACTTACACTGTTGAAGACTTGTCCTTGAAGAATGACCATCATGGTCATTTTTCAAGAGGCCTTTTGGTACCAATAGGTCTCTATATGAAGAAAATAAGAGAGAAAAGCTGGACAACAAAATCCTGAATGAAACCCAAAGCAAAGATTTGTTTCCAATTAAGTACTTTGGCTGTCTGCACTATTGTGCATGAGTTTCACATTTCCACTGGCCTTAATTCTTTTTCCCTTTTCTGGCCTTGGTGTTGATCTTGCAGTATCACAGATAACTGATATATTGCATGTTCACTATCTCATCACATGCTGTCAGTTGGGAAATGGAAGTATACACAATGAATTTATGTTAGCATTCTGATTCTAAGTAGGCTGCGTGTACATCATTTTTTTTCACCTCCAATAGCATTGCCATATTTATATCATCATTTTTTTTGTTCAGGGAGAAGAGGCATTCTAATTGTCATGGTATAAGTAATTATTTTGCAGGCCTTGTGGAATTGTTCCAGTTAATGTGGTGTGAAACACACAGTAAAGGAAACCCAACCATTCGTTTATTCCTTGCAAACTGACACCCGATTAGTAACCTCTCTTCCCTCTTCAAGGTCCTTACGGTTATTTCTTTCCAAATCTATGTGCATGTTTTTGCAGCTTGAATCTGTCTAATCAGGCTTCCACTCCACCAACAAAATGTCCCAAACTGAAATCACAAATGGAAACCTATGAGATCTCACTTTCAGATCTCATTCAGCTGTCAACCATATGCTTGCCTGAATTTTTTAAATTCTCAACCTCCCTCACAAATCCATTTATTCTTGCACTATCTCCATCCAGCATAACTCTTGAGAAACATGAATCAAGAATTCCTGTAACTG